CGTCCTAACGAGCCAAACAGACTGCGGTATGCGATTGATTCGTGATTAGGTTAGTAACTAGTAAGGTTAATTTATAAATATAGAACACACATTTTTTTGCCTAATTAGAGAACTTAAACTTACTACTTAAGCAATATAGTCTTACCTATATAATTTTGTATAGGCGTACGTGTAACTGTGTAATCGGTATAATACTGCAATAAGCCATAGGTAATAGGAATAGCATATAATTTAGACGACTTGGAAAATTAATAATCAATTCATTTATTTTTCTAACTACTTATTTTTTTTTTATTATTATTTAATTGATAACCAGCTGGAGAATTATAAATAAATGCAATAAAAGTTTATCATATTATCTTAGATAGAATGATAGAAACTTAAAAAAAAGAATTAATGTTTTAAATGTATTATTGACACTTGACAGATTAATCACAATATCATCTATATTTTAGTGTTTAAAGCTTGAAAAACGAATACGACATTTTATTTTTACATACTGTGACAATGTGACATACGAACATGCAAATCCGACAAATAAAACTTCCAAATGCAATTTTTTTCTGCCAAATTTAGTTCAACCTAGTAATATTCTGGTACTTCTGTATTACTGGATTAGTATTTACTAATAGTAAAATAAATTACCTGTATAGTAATAACATGATTAATATCATAAAATAAATTTAGTAGTATAGGATATCAGACAGTCTTCACACAGAAACATTTTTCGTATACAATGATATAATATCATTGAATACAAACTTAACTCATCCATTACATTTTTACAATTTTCAGTGACCCAAACAATATCTACAGTGCGCCGTGCGGCAGCAGGCACTATAGAAGTCGCCACACGCCAGTCAGCAATACAGCTGCTTAGCAATCGTCAGAGTGGTACCCACACCAGTCAGGCCACCTGTCCTTATTTGATATCCTTTTTTGTAATCATTGATAAGCACTTGTTATCTAATATAGTAATATTTATCATTCATTCAAGAAAAATGAAATGAACCACAATAATAGTTACTATTATACTGATATCTCGACTGAAAAGTAGAAAGATGAAACTTCGGAGTCCGGATGTTCAAGATACTTTTTATTTTTAAAAAATAAAAACCGACTTGTTTAATGTTTTTGGGCAGATCAAAATAGTAAACTAATATCTCAATAATGGCTTGCGGCTCATTAACACCTAATGTGTTCATCTCAGAACTTGATCAGATTATGAACATCTTAGAACGAGGCACAATCGTCACACGATTTTATTTGAAGAAGAGGCCTGAGAAACGAACACTGAAGTTACGCAAGGAAACACGACAGATTCTCTGGTCAAGGACAAGTAGTAGCAACAATAAAACCTTTGATGGCTCTTGTAATTATATGTTTTAGTTTGATCTATACAACTATAATGTACAACTATTATATAATTATGTTGCACCATTATCTGCGTATTGAAAATTGTATGTATAATTGATATTTTTATTTTAGTGGACCTCAAAGATGCCAAAGAAGTACGTTGTGGTAGAAATAGTAAAGAATTTGATAGATGGCCTGATGAATTGAAGAAATTTGAAGCTACCAAATGCTTTGTCATATTTTATGGCAACGAATTCAAATTGAAAACTCTGTCTATAGTTGGTATGTTCATTTATGATATTATTGCAACTTTTGAGGTAAATTGTAAGAAAAAAAAGGTACCTACTTCAGGCTATTTATTATTACGAATAACTTGATATAACACTGTGAAGGTTGTTTAGTTTATTAGTGCTTTCATTTTATTGTTTTAATTTTTATTGATAATAGTATTATGATAATTTAAAATAATTTTTTTTTATTATCTTAATAATACTAATTCTATTAATGTTTGATAAAATCGACAAAAAAACATTGTTATATACCTAGGTAATTTATAACAACTTAAGTAATAAGATTAAATAAGCGAAATAATATAGGTACTTACTTACCCATATATTCATTCTCAAAATGGATCCATACATTTTTAGTTCTTATATTTACTTAGGAAATTAAAAATACTTATTTACATTTTCTCTTTTTAGATGAAAACTGTATACTTCTTTTTTATTTGTTTGTTATTAAGCTGGTTGACAATATTTACTAAAAATATAAAATAATATATAGGTTGACATATAGTATTGGACACTAGTTGTTCTATATAAATTATTTTACTTTTGAAATCCCAAAAAATGCTGTAAGTCAATAACATGAGCGGATGGGTACTTTTTTTAAACCGGGATATATTTATTAGGGTCTCATAGACCTAGCTCCTATATATTGTACATAAAAAAATTCAACTTCTTTTGAGTTTTATCGTTGGCACATTTACTTAACAAATATTGCTCCATTCTTTTTTTTTATTTTTGTTATTCGAACATCAATTATATTTATTTATATTTACATTTTATACATTATTTAGTTATAGCAATAGTACATGCAACAAAATGGATATGTGTTTATACAGAGGCCCTTAGGCCCTAAGGCCCTAATAGAGTATACAAATATTATAAATATGCATTAATACAGTACAGCCGCCAGGGCATCAGCCAGTATTATAAAAATGTACTTATATATTATTATCATTATTTTTTTTGTTGGGGGGGATCATATGGTTGAGGGGGGGATACGGAGGGATGAATTTACAGAAATTTGAACTTTTATAAAAAGTGATTAATCTCAATAATTTAATATTGTATTAAGTCCTAGTTTTATCATTAAAATCATTATTTTTTTTGTTGGGGGGGGGGGGCTCTGAGTATAATATTTATGGGGGCCAACCGGAAAAATCCCGATTTCCCGAGAGGCCTATCTGTCCATGGTCAATAATAATAGTTTTTACTTAATATATTATAATTAAGCTTCATTTTACTAATATAAATATTGTGGTAGTGCTATACCATAACTAGTAAATTAGACCTTCTATTTATTTAGTTGAACCAAAAATTATAAAAACTATTTAATAAAAAAATTTAATGATAAATGTACAATTCATAAAAACAATATGAAAATTTGATAACAAGAAGCTTTGGTTTTTTGAATTCAAATTTTTTTATTTGTGTGTTAGAGCCTCAACCGTGATGGTTATTATTTTTTTGAAGTACATATAACCAGTAGCTCTTAAAATGTAACATATTATATTCAATTATGCACTGTTGAAAACAATCATGGAAGGCCGTAAAGGTTTAAATATGTACCAATAATGACAATTTTTTTGCTCCATAACTTTGAAAATAATTGATAATTTTCTTCATTTGACTTCTAAAACTCCAAATTAGGAACAATTTTCTACCACCAACATCCATCAATGTTAAAGATTAGACAATTTGTTTGGCTGTAAAAAGTTTTACATACTTCAAAATGAATGCATCCATTGTTCTGTTTAGTATCAAAAGGATTTTAATATTATTCTTTTCATGTTTGATCAGTAGCGGCTTGTGTATAATATGTACACAAGTGCTTGTGCACTATGAACCCTAACACAAGAAAAATTGAAAACATAAATCATGATAATTGATACTACGTGTATCAAAATATTAAAATAATGTAACAATTAAATTGGGTTATTTCAAAGGCCAAATGGCCAGTTGGTTGTCCACACTGGAACAGTATTGGTATGTACAGTAGTGCACACAGTCACTATGCACATTTGTACAGTGTAAAGATTAATAAATGTCAAAACACGCAACCCTTGTTATAAATTATAATGGAATCGATGTGCTCATAACAAATTAAATTGTTTCCAGTAAATTATTCTGTTCGACATCACAATTGTGCATCAACATTATAATTTATTTTTACTCTTACTCGTTTATTATATTCTGATTATCAGCTGATCATTTTTGTAAATAATTATTTTATACAATCTATAATATATGTATATAACATTGATTGTATTTTTTTTGGGTGTGCACTACTTCATTAAAAACCCACGAGCCACCACTATGTTTAATGCTAGACAATTAAATCCCAAAGGCAGTAAAATAAAATAAAATACATGTCAAATAATAATTAATAGTTGGTAAATAGATTGTATAGTAGGTACTTAATTTAAACATGTGTTAGGCCAGCTATAGTGTTTAGAATTGATCATAATGAACCCAAAACTTCAAATATACTTGTGAATATAACTTCAAATATGACTTAGTAGACAAATTTATTATTATTATTTATTGATATTGTACCATTGTCTATATCTGATTATAATTAACTGGATTATAGCATTATCCGAACAAGAATGTGAATTATGGATCAAAGGTTTATATCATCTTGTAAATGATACTGTTTGTGCTCCATATCCATTACAAGTTGAAAGATGGCTGCGTAAAGAATTTTATACTATGGAAAATTCAAGGGAAACGTTAGTACAAAAATAAATCACACTTTAAACAAAATGCTTTATGCCTTTATTCTAATAAAATGTTGTTATAATATAATCATTGACATTAATGCTGTTTGAGTTAAAAATAAAATAATTACAATTACATATATTTTATAGAGTGACATTGAAAGATGTAAAATCTTTTTTTCCGCGTGTTCATTGCAAAATTTCAACCAGTAAACTACGAGAGTTGTTTCAAGAAGTCGATACCAGGAAGCGCAATGAACTTAATTTTGATGAGTTTGTCACTCTCTATAACAAACTTATCTATAATTCAGGGGTAATAATTATACTTAATGAACAATTGTTTGATAAAATTATTTAATACCTGTTGGCATTTTATTAGATTTTCAATGAATGTTTTTCAATGTATTGTTCAGCTGACGACACATTCAACGTTCAAAATCTTACTAGGTTTCTGAACGCTGAACAAGAAAGTTTATGTCTTGAAGAAGAAGTTGTTGCTAAACACATGAAAGAATATTTCAAGTATTGTGGTAGAGATTTAAATGATAAGCTACAATTCACCTCAACCGATGTAAGTTATTTTATATAAATTATCCAAATACTTAATTTGATAACACCAACAGTAAAAAGTACACCAAACTTCAACAATTTGTAGCTATCCATTTTATTTTATAACAAAATGCATTTAAGATTTAACACTATAACAATGTATTACAGATTCCTATGGATGTAATATTTGTATTTTGTAGATCTGCTATCTCAGGGGGGCGGATAAAATTAAGGATAATATCATATTATCTCTTATCACACATAAAAAAAGGTCTTGGGATGAAAATAAATTGGGTGTAATTTATTTTAATCATTATAATTACACATTACTCGTAAATAGCATAATATGATGTATGTATATATTATATAAAAAAAAGAATACATTATGGTATAGAGTAATAAATTATAAATAGTAATTAGTGTATAGGTAAAGTAAAATATTTGCTTGTAGACATAATATCATAATAATTAATAACTTATTCTAATGAACTTAACATAAGTAGCTGTTTTAAGACTTTGGTCTGACTCGTTTCCCGAATTTCGCCTGCTAAAAACATTTCGTCTACCACTGTGTATACCTTGTAGAAGTTGAACACCAGATCTAGTTCACAGACGTTGTGGAAATATTCGTTGAGGACTTCTACAAAATTATGTATGGCTTCCAGATAACACAAATTGTTATCGCCCACGTCTACGCAGATGCAAAAATATAGCCCGGCGTACCTTCGATAAATTATTTTGAAGTTTCGGAATTCTACGAAATTCGTGTGCTTGGCGTCTCTGACAGTTACAACTGCGTGCACTTCTTCGATAAGCTTTTGTTTCTCGTCATCATCAAAATTCATATACCATTTGGCTAGTCTTGTTTTTCCTGCTCTGTTTTGTATTAGAATGAAGCGGATCATTTCAATTGTTCGATAAATAAATAAAAAACCAAACAAACGCGTAACGAATTAAATGACAAAAGTCGCGTCAACTAAAAATCAATACCAAGTATTATTCTGTACTCCGGACTTGGGTAAACCGTGAACATAGTACCTGATACTGCATTGGGTAATATATATTATCATAAACCACTAGTCACCAAAAAATGGCGACCACTGATAACTGATAACAGTTTTCGTTGTCTGTTTTCAGCTTTGAACTTCCGTTCCGTATTTCATAATCAACTAAATCATTAATCAACTAATTCCGTGAATATATGACGTGAATGAATATTGTAAAATATTAAATAGCAATAAATTAGAAATTACCCTGTCAATATTAGAACTCTAAACTATCTTATACTACTATACTTTCGATTTTTAAATATTTGATTTACGAAAATTGGTAGTACACTAATACCGAATAGTAAATTCAAATGAATTCTCATTATTTTGCAACAATAAGGTATAAATTCATTAGGTAATAAGCTAATAACAGACATTTTACCACATTTGATATTACACATTTTGTATGTATTTAAATAAATATAATTGAAATACTATATTAAATGTTCATATAATTACATTTCTGTATTGTATTTGCTATTAATATTACAAGGTGCATTTATTTATTGAGATTCGATAAAAAAAATACTGTAACTGCGGGGCATTATCAAACATTTTTTCTCCATCTTACAAATGTAGAATATAGTAAAAACTAAAAACCCCTATGTTTTATTTGTTAAGATTATATTATTGAAATTAAGGTATCATTCCCTAATAATTATAAAAAATAATACAATTTGTGTTTAAAATCTTTTATTTTAATATTTAATTTTATAATCATTTTAAATATTAAGACAAGCTTCTGAAAAAACACAGTAGGGTTAGGTATAATAGTTGGTTAAGGTCTTCATTGCAACAATACAATTACAATGAGTGCAATACTGAGAAAGTTCTTAACATATTATTACCTGTGTGTAAGATGAAGAAATAAAATTATTCTGTCTTGCCATCTTATTGACTGTAATGAAGAATAATAGAAGAAAATGATTTTATATAATTATTTATTACGTTTAGTTAATGGATAAATGGGTTTTTGAAAAAACTAAGAGATCTCTTCATATAGTATCAGATTAATCTTTTGAGTTATGCTTTGTTTAATACATTTTTTTTAGTTTTACATAGTTATACCTATTATACAATAATATTATACTTGTTTTTTTTTTTAGTTTATGGATTATTTATTTTCAAAACAAAATGAGATATGGGATCAATATTATGACAATATATTTCAGAACATGACAAAACCACTTTCACATTATTGGATAGCATCTTCTCATAATACGTTAGTATGATTTGTATGTTTTCAAGATATTAAAATTTATAAACATAGAACAGAGGACCAAGAGACTATACAAATTAGCAAAACAATAACTAATTGAATACATCAACTATAGATACCTATTAAATAATATGTATGAATAGATATAATATTTTTACTCTGAATACCTTTTATTATTCAAATTTGTATGATCTTTAAAATATAGTGCACAATTTTATTTTATTTATAGTATTTGTTTTACATACTTATTCAATAAGAATATATATTTTAATATGCACTAAACCACCTCAAAAGTTAACAATCCCAGACTGATTATTCTCTTTTGAGGTAGAGTATAGTCAATAGTCATACTAGCAAATTATTTAACATAAAAATATTCTTTAGCATTTATAAAACATTTATGTTATTAAAAGTATAGTATTATAATTTTTTTTCAGCTATTTAACTGGCGATCAAGTATCTAGTGAAAGTTCAATTGAGGCATATGTAAGGTGTTTACGCTGGGGATGTCGCTGTATAGAATTAGATTGTTGGGATGGACCAGATGGGCTGCCAATAATATACCATGGGCATACATTAACCAGTCGTATAAAATTTTTAGATGTCCTAAAAACAATTAAAGAACATGCTTTTATTGCTTCGCCGTAAGGAAAAAATATAAATACAGGCATATATTAATCAATTAATTAATTACTATAATTTTAGGTATCCAGTTATTTTGTCAATAGAAGACAACTGTTCAATACCACAACAGCGAAATATGGCATCAACTATGGTTGAAATATTAGGGGATATGTTAGTTACACAACCAGTTGACCGGAATGAAAATAAAATGCCTTCACCTGAGCAACTTATGTATAAGTTCATAATTAAACATAAAAGACTTCCAGAAAAAGTTAATGGAGACCAAGCTGTCACAATTAGGCATAACGATGATTGTAAAACTATTATATTTAATTTATATTTATTATATTTAATGTTTAATATTTTTGTTTATTTGCATAACTTTTTTTTTCAGCTAAAGACACTGATCTAAGGAACACAAAAAAAAATGGAGTACTTTATCTAGAAGATCTGCTTGAAAAAGAATGGAGACCTCATTTTTTTGTGCTGTCTGGTAATAAACTTTATTATACAGACCTCTGTAAATCAGATATCGATAATGAAGACGAAGCAGATGGAGGAGAGTTGGAAACTAGTGATGTATCTAGTGCAAATCGATTGAGAGAAGTTAGTTGAATTTAATACTTATTATTTATATATATATATTGAGGACATAGTAAAATATTGGACAGTGTGTTAATTGTTAGGATAATTTATTAAAATAGGTCGTAGTTAAGTCTAAAGTTTAGTCCCTAAAACCATTCTTATAAATATGAAATTGTGTATGTTATAATGTATAAATCCGAAATCAGATACCATTTTTTGTTTATTTTGATTATTTAAATTAAATTTATTTGTAACTATGATGATTTAGTTTTATCAACATTTATTTATTGAATAAAAAAGAGTGTTTCTTAAAGTCTTAATAGGTAAATTATTATGGATTACCATGCACTGTAATCAGTTTGATTTATTATTTTCATTGTATTAAATACTGAAATAATAATATTATAAAACTTCAATATATTTTTTGGACAAATGATGTTTCTAACACAAAACATTGGAGTACATGATATATTGCTTAAATGATTTTTCTTTTGGTTAGCCAAAATTAAATTGAGCCTAATAATATTGGCTTAGGAACTGACATGTAATAGGCTTTACTAAAGAAAAATCTTTGTACCTGTATACCAATTGTATAATTGTCATTATTCTTTAATTTTATCAGTCGGAGATAACACGTATAATAAAATATATAATAATATAATACCTGTTTTATAATGATATTTATTCAGTTTATAAATTTGTTATCGCTGCATCATTTAATCCCCGAATTGCATTATATTTATAATGTATAGGTACTGTATTATTTGCATAATATGATTTGTTTGTAATAAAACATAGATTAAATATAATATACATTTTGTAGGGTATACCTAATGATGAATTACATTTTGGAGAATACTGGTTTCATGGAAAATTAGCTCGTGGTAGAAATGAAGCTGAAGAACTATTGAAACAGTATCAGCATTTAGGAGCTGGTACATTTTTAGTAAGGCAAAGTGATACATTTATTGGTGATTATTCGCTATCATTTTGGTAAATAATTGGAGTAAATCATTACATTAACCATAGATCATTAATTTATCTATTTGTACATTTATAGGCATTTAGGTAAAGTAAACCACTGCAGAATACGTTCAAAGCATGATAGAGGGCAAATAAAGTATTATTTGATTGATGGTGCTGCATTTGACAGCTTATATAGTTTGATAACTTATTATCGTACTTATCCATTACGTATACAAGTAAATTTGCCATAAATTTAAAATTTCATGTTCAGATTTAAATACATCATATATTCATCACATAAACTAATAACAATTTAATTGTAGGAATGCTATATTATTTTGAACGAACCTGTACCTCAGCCTTTAAAGCATGAAGGGATGAATTGGTATCTTCCACATGTTTGCAGAAGTCGAGCAGAGGCATTATTGCGACGAGTACCACAAGAAGGTGCATTTTTGGTGCGACCATGTGAAAATGATAAACATCTTTATGCTATTTCATTTAGGTAAAATAAAAATAAATATTTGCCGTTTTCTTTATGAACCAATTAAAATATATTTATAAATACTGTTTTAGGGCTGAAAAGAAAATTAAACACTGTCGCATTAAACTTGAAGGGCGATTGTACACTATTGGTGTAAAACAGTTTGAAAGCCTAGTGGAACTAATAAAGTATTATGAACAAAATTATTTATATAAAAAAATTAAGCTATGGTTTCCTGTAAATGAAGATATTGTACAAAGAATGGGAACTGTGAGTATAATATACATAATATATTAAAACAACATTTAAAAATGATTATTTATTTATGAAATTAAATTTAGGTATGTTATAAGATTAAAATAATTTTAAAATGTTAACCAGTCAATTTTTACAATCTATGTTATAACTTAGTAATTAATTAATTATCTATTAAGTTATTATTTTATATTATTTATTAGTAATTGGAGTGGGTAAGATTAAGTAGTTTAATTTTGAAACAGTTTGCCCATTCCATATTGGCATCACCTGGGGTGTAGCGATTGATTTCTTTTGTTGAACAGCAGCTGATTTAGTATTTGGTAAACCCACATATCCCAAAGCTGGCACACAATCTGAACAAAGTGGTATAGGCTGAAGTGGTTTGTTTGCTTTAACTGTTGGGCTCTTAAGTGTCTTACCATTACAGTCAGCTTGTGGTTGTTGACTAAATGTCAGGTGCATTGGGCTTGAAGTTAGTGATTTCAAATCTATTGGTGGTTCACCTGGATTCAAATAAAACATCAATGTTTGTTGTGGTTTTGATTTGTCTTGTGTTTCTAATGGTTTGGATTTGTCATGTGTTTCCAATGGTTTAGATTTTTCATGTGTTTCTAATAATTTGAATTTGTCCTGTGTTTCTAATGGTTTTGATTTTTCAAATTTATTATGTTCTGGTTTTATTGAGTCTTTAACTGCCATTTGTTGGGAACTTTCTGCCTGTTCTGAACCCTTGTAAAAACTGCCTCCACTTAAAATGTGCATTAAATTAAAACCACTTTTACCAGATTCTGCTGGTTGTTGAGTTGGCCGAGGCTTATTTTCTGTTATGGAGTAATCATTTTGGATCATATTGGTATATACTGGTAACATGACCATTGAATTTG